TACAGCAAAATATGTTGCATAATGTTATAATGCTTGTGTGTAGCAATCTAATCAGGAAAGATACCGGGGGGGAGAAATTGCAGTTAATCTTGTTGATAGAGACTTACCAGCAATAAACTCTTCTAACTTCAGTACTGGAACTTTAATGATTTTTTTGAAATATTTTCACCTTACCATGTGGAACAGAAGGAAACAATGTATTGCATTTTAAAATCATAATGCTTAAAATCTTTGTCCTAATAACTTCAAGGATTTAAGTTTTCATCTAATACTCAATCTGATTCTGCAAATGACACTGTGTGAAATGACGTCTTTGTGAGGAGCAAGACGCAAGGTCAGGCCTGTGAAAGGTTCATGTGTGTCCTTCAGATCATCTGGGTAGTAGTGCAATATAATTGTGAAATGAAAAGTGTGCGCTAGAGCTTGGTTCAGTTAGTGTGTGATTGTAAGAGACTGAAAGGAAGAAATGGAGCTGTGATCTTGAAGGTACTGAACTGCTGGAGTGCATTTTAAGTCATCTTCATGCAGGGCCATAAAGTATCAGCTGCCTCACCTTGCATGGGTGGCATTGAGCAACTCTAAAAGATCAGTTTACATGTAGACAGACATTTAGGTACCAGAATTCATAAGGAAAAGTGTCAGTGTTTCCCCTTGTACATGTTGCTCTGTTGTATAAAGAGGGTTTTTTTGTAGAACTTAGAAAATTCTCCATAACCCATTGCAGGCTGGTTGTGAAAGCAACGTGTAATCTAAGTATTTGCATTTGCAAAAGAACATCGTGCTTTTATAGGAACCATTGAAATCTCAATGGGGGAAAAATATCTTCAGCTCTAGGGTCGATTTGTGTATCAGAAGTTACATCTTAGTACATGTAATTTCACAGTGGTTGACCATCAGGTTAAAAATAGTCTTGTGACCACACACAGCGTAATGGTTTTTAAATTAAAATTTAGTTGTGCTGATAGCTACAGAAATATTTGTTAAAGTCAGTGCTTATAGACACCAGCAGCTAGGGGGTGGACTTATGTTAAATAAATCAGTCCTATTGAAAAGACATACTTTTTTTATAATTGTTATGAGTAGTATTTCCCAAATACTAGCTAATGCAGCTGGAAAGAGTGGTTGACAATTATTTTTAGCTTCATAAAGATCTGTACATTTGCAGGTAAAAAAATGAAAGTCTTGTTGTCTTCCTTTTTTCTTTCTTTTTTTTTCCTTCCCCTTTTCAGAAAGCACATGGCTTATTGAATGGATGGCAGAATAGTTTCAGCTGGTATACTGTGTGGAAGTCTGTCTTAGTCGGTGTCTAGATTTTCTTGCTTTTGCTCTAAGGACAATGAAATTGTTGGAGAGGAGAAAAGCAGTATCTGTATTCTACAGATTTCTAAGCACAGTAGAATCATACGTTGCAGCAGTCAAGTCCAATAGAGGTAAACCAAAAAAGAATCATGGAAATTGAATCCTAAGAAGAGAGTTCTATAGTTGGGAATGCAATACTTCACTTGCAGCATTTGCATTTTTTAACACATGCATACCTTGCTGTGAATTAACAGCTCTAGTTGGATTTTTTGCGGGTTTCTTTTTTTAAATCATAAATACCAAAGTGTAGATTTCCAATGGTCATATCAGAATCATTGTCACTTGGTAGCTTGGTGCTAGGCTAGTACATTTTATCTGGAATCATCTTTGGAAAAAAACACTGCATATGAGACATTTGCATACTCCAAGACCAGCAGGTGCACCTGTGGGGTTTTGAGGGGGAGTATTTGTTTGGGTGTTTGTTTTTTTTTTTTTAAGCATAACCATGCAGATGCTACTGTGATGTGATTCACAGAACATGTTGTGATGAGCTACTCTAGTTGTGGTGCTGTAATGACTTTTAATGCTGTTTGCTCCTCTTCATCATTGACTTTCCATCTGTGACTGCTGGACATGGCACATAGAATCATAGAATGGTTTGGGTTGGAAGGGACCTGTAAAGATCATCTAGTCCAACCTGCCCACCACGGGCAGGGACACCTTCCACTAGACCAGGTTGCTCAAAGCCCCATCCAACCTGGCCTTGAACACTTCTAATGATGGGGCATCCACAGCTTCTCTGGGCAACCTGATCCAGTGTCTCACCACCCTCATCATAAAAAAACTTCTCTTATATCCAATCTAAACCTACCCTCTTTCACTTTAAAACTGTTGCCCCTTGTCCTGTCACTACAGGCCCTGGTAAAAAGTCTCCCTCTCTCCGTTTTTATAAGCTCCCTTTACATATTGAAAGGTTGTGATATGGTCTCCTGGGAGCCTTCTCTTCCCCAGGCTGAACAACCCCAACTTTCTCAGCCTGTCTTCACAGGAGAGGTGTTCCAGCCTTTTGACTGTTTTCGTGGCCTCCTGTGGACTCGCTCGAACAGGTCCGTGTCTGCCTTGTGCTGGGGACCCCAGAGCTGGACGCAGAACTCCAGGTGGAGTAAGTCTGTCCAGCTTGTTGGTGAAGACCCTCTTGTCCCACTTGGTCGGGAGAATCTCCTCAGCTCCCAGCGGACCTGGCTTCTCAGAGGTAGATCCCTGATCACAGAAGCCAAAACATGAGTGTTCACTCTCAAGTACATGAGCCGTATTTGGCATATGTCATTGACCTGGCATCACTCGAAGTACTCTGAAATGAGTTACAGGTTTTTGTAATAGGAATTACTTTTTTTTTTTTTTAATAGGGAAAAGGAGTTTAGGCACTGCAGCAGCAGTGCAGCAGTTACCTTGTAGTTGTGACAGGGCACATGAATTGATTGGACAGATTGTGCGCTAGGTCCTGTTGTGTGTAATCTGTACTCCTGGTGTAGCTCAATTACCTCAGGTGTTTGTAGAATCACATCTTTTTTAATTGCTGAGATTCATCACATGAGATTACTTGCATGGGGAATGTTGCATTATCAGGACATCTTCTTTTTCTGCTTACTTGTGTGTAGATAACAGTAGCTTTTCTCACAGATTATCTGCTTGCCCATATATTGAATTGTGTCCTCTAATTAAAGGAAAAATTTTAACCATTACTGGTTAAAAACCAGTACTTACAGATTAAACTGTTTGGTTTTTTTTCCCATAGTACATCTACAGAATCGTGACCTTTTCCTGGATCCTTCTTGTTTGTTCAAAACATCGCAATTGAACAAGGGCAGTGTTGGTTGCTTTCACAAATACTAAGGCTCCAATGTGTGATTAACAGAGAATTTGTAGATATTTATTATTGTATTGCAAATGTGTTCATAGCATTTCATCTTTGTTACAGTAAGGATGGCAACTTCTTTTTAAAAGATCTTTAACTTTTTTTTTCCCTAGTCTGTAGTATTTTTTTGACAGCTTAATCTCTAATGGCCAAAATGTGATTGATAGCTGGAAAAGGTCAAGCAAATTCAGGTAAAGGTTGGAGTATAATCAACCAACTTCATGTTTCTCATAGTAGAGTAGGTAAGGTGTTCACGCAGAGAAATAATACCCTATTCCTAGGATTTACTGCCTCGTTAGTTTCTTCTAGCAGGGAAGTATTTCCATAAAGTGTCTGCTAGAAAAGTAGCGTGCCCATGCTTGCTGCCCTTCAGAAAAATTCTGAGTAAGCAGGATGGGAACCAGATGGATGGGAGAAGCGGAAGCATAATGATGAGCAGAAAATAATAAAAAAGTGCAGATGTGCAGTGAGAGAGAACAGAGATCTTAAGAACTAAAGCATAAAGGAGATGATTCAGAATGCATTATGGAGAGGACATGCGTATTTTGGGCTTAAAAAAAATATATATGGAAAAAAAAAAGTTACTATTCCCTAAGCCCAAGTGACCTCATTTTAGACTTGCTTTCTTTTTGTTCCCAAGAGGACATATATGCCCAGACCTCTGTAGGAAATCTGGCTGCCAGCTGGCACAGCACCTTTCAAAGAGACCTAATTTTATATTTTCAGAACCTGGAAATATCAGCCACCTCCATCTGTAATAAGCTGGTGTTTGTAATATCTATTAAACTGCATTGTAACATTTAAGTTTCTTTGCCAACCTATTAATAAGGGCCAGGCTATTGAGAGCTGTCAGTAGGGCCAAAAAAAGTGGTTTAATTTTGTGAGGTCTGTGGGTTCATGCTTTTATTTTGCATGAATTTACATCTTTTGGCACGCTTCAGGATATTAACTTGTATGATGAAATGTCATCTTCCCATATTTTAAGTCTGTATTGAGAGGAGGCTGGAATAAACCCTTTGTAGTAGTAGAAGTCTGCTGTATTAAATCCAGTGTTAAAATTGGAGGCAAAGTTACTTGGAGTACTGGCTTTAATTTTTCTGGGATAGAAATCAGAAAGTATTAAGCACATCATCATATTATATAATGATTTGTCCAGCTACATAGAATTTAATGTGGGTAGCGAGGGAACAGATTCAGTTCTCTTGCTCTGGCTCTACCTGCTGCAACAAAATTTTCAAGCTGTCTCTGGCCAGCTTAGGGAGGGTGCCTGGGGAGCTCTCTTCGTAGCAGGCAGAGCTGCTCTTGCAGAGTTCAGGTGATGACAGGCAGCCTATTTGTGTTAATTTAATATAAGGAAGAAAGACATCTCAGATCTGGAAGAGGCAAAATGGCCACTGCCATGGGGCAGCCACTGGTTCAGCACGGGTCTGCTTCAGTTTGTGTTAACTGTAGCTCCAAGCTTTCACTAATTTCAATCTGTCTTAAACCTTGACAGAGTCAATCAGTTCTTGTAATTACTAATGACCAATGTTTAATAATCCTGTAAGTCTAACTGAGGAAAAAAATTGATGTTTTGGGTATAATTCTAGAATACTTTGTAAAACTATTTGCATTACAAGAGAAAATGCAAATATCTATGTACAATAGCAGTGAAATACTGCATCCAAATCTTAATTTAGATGGATTCTGTAGTGTATAGCTGTCATGTTGAAGTTTGTCATTTATATGAAATTTATTAGTGTTTCTTTGAATTCCTGTTAATATATTTTCTGGGTTTTTTTTTCAGCTCTTCGTTGTAGTCTCCAGTTTCTTGGAAACATTGCAGCAGGAAATGGAGATTCCCAGAATAGCATTTGGAAGTGTGCTTTCCCAGATCTCTTCTTGTAAGCATGGATGCGGGTTTTTTTTTAATGTAATTTCTGTGGTTGTATTCAAATCTTTTGTACATGATAGTTGTGCCTCTACTAGCACCATGAAGCTTTGAAAAATAACTTTGGTGAGAATGGGATGGTTGAGACCATATCCTGTAGATGATTGGGGTTTTTTTTTTTTTGGTAGTCAACCGCAGGGGTCAGGACCTTTAAAAACCTGCTTGTTCTAAACTAACAGTAAATTGATTTCATCTAACAGAAACTGGAAGAAAACTCTATTTCAAATTATGAGCTTCAAACAGAAGCTTTATTTCAGAGGTGTTTTCAAGTAGTTAGACGCACTTCCAAGAATCATAGCTTTTTCTTCATTCACTTTGCTGCTGTGCAGACCTGTCAGTATTTGTGCATCAGCTGGAATCTACAAAAGTGACGTAGTTTTTGTGTCTTCCAATACTTTTGCCCCCCTCCTAACCTCACCAGAGTATCTTCCTGGAGGTTTGATGACACATGTGTAACGAAATATTACATAAACGATTTTGTGCAGACACATGACAATATTATTGATGAGTTTGGCCAAAGTTTTCATATTGAGCTAGTAACAAAGGCACGTTCATTCAATTTGATAATCATTCTGAGTGTGTTTTTGGAGCCTGCTTGTCAGCACTGTATGTAGAAAGACCTTATGATAGTAGAGGCAGATGATCATTATGGTTTCATTCAATCTCTAGATCTCCAGTTAGCTCCAGTTTAGCATTAGCATCTGTTAAGTTTGACCTTCAGCTAGGAGTTGGATGTTTTTGTTTGCAGATGATTCCTATCCCTCTTAGGCAATGACAAACTCATGATTCTCTAAAAGACTGCAAAGAAGAACAACTCAACGAGCTGAATGCCACTAGTCTGTTTTTCCAGGGTCAGTTTTAACTTATTCTCTTAACTCCTTATTTTCTCTTGAAGGACGTGCCTAACGTACAGTGATGAGAAGATTGTTGCCTATTGTTGTATGGTACTGTTCACTTGCCTTAATTCAGAAAAAGTGAGAGAACTACTGTATCCTGGGAACTTGACTGTGGCTCTTCATGTCCTGAAAGTCTACAAAGAGCAGCTGGAGTCTGAGTGGTCGTATGTATCTTTAGATTTTTTTCCCCCTCTTAATTAGATGTTTTTCTAGTGTAAATCACTGTATTAAAATGTCTAAATTTGTGACACTGCTAAGTAGTAAATGAAGATCTATTTAGAAGTTAGTAATTTGGTATAGAGATTACTTTCATGATATTTTCACTGACTGTTTTGATTGCTGCTAAAATAAGACTACATATTTTCTGAGGATATAGACAGGAATTTTAAGATCATGGTCTGCTGGGGTTTTTTTGTTGTTTAGTGAAACAGGGTTCTAGAATGTAAACTACTTTATACTTGTGTGCTGGTTTGTGGAGATTTTGGAGATAAAGTTAACGCAGAATATAGTCTTACGGACTTCAGTTATTGGGTCATGCTAGGAAGACTTGCATGACCAGTGCTTGTGAATACTACATAAAAAGTGGGGGGTTTTCTTCTTTTTTTTTTTTTTAAACAGATCCATTGTCTAGTGCAACATGCAATCACTTTTATACCAAAACAGAGAAGATGTTTTGTTTGTGAATCTTGCACATTTCATTTTCATACTTTAAGAGCATCTAATCAGTGGGTTTGTTCCATTGAGCTTTTATATTTTTTGCTAATGGCCATTCTTGTAAATATTGTTGTCAGTTATGCATATGAGAAATGCTCTGCCCTGTATCAGTAAGGATGCACATTCAGTTAATTGTTATATGATGCATTCCAAGGGCGGGGGGCAGGGAGGGGAGGATAGTTTGTGTGTTTTTGTAGCCTTCTTTTGAAGGTCATCTTTCTAACTACATTTTGAATTTAAACAATTGTCAGAGGTTTACTAGTTATTTGGGAAGTCTCTAAACAGAGTTAAGATGATTGAATGAAAAGCAAATGTCATTTAACAGTTTGCTTTTGTACTGAAAAAATGAAAAAAATTTGTTTGTGGCTGGGCTTTTTTCATAACCAGGTCAATTTGCTTAGGACATAAATAGTTTTCAGAAAGCAAACTTAAAGTTTCAGGGTCAGGTGACCAGACTTCTATTTCAAAAGTGACAAACTGAGTCTTTCGTTTTGGCATCTGTCAATATAAACACATGTGAAAGATTTCTTTTCAGGTAATTCTCTAGATTGTCCTTAATTTTCTTTATGTATTGAAGATATGCTGAAAAGTATTTTGACTGAGATATGAAAGCCAGGGAGAGCTGGAAGAGGTTGTCATGGTGTTAAAATTATATTTTCAAGGTAACTGCAGAATAAATGCAGCATCAAAATAAATGCTGAGGTATCCACTTCCCTGATCTTTCTAGTCTGATGTGCATTCTGTTGATGTTAAAATGAAAATGTCTCACCTCCACTGTGGATGTTTGATGTGGGTCAGAAATGGTCTCCCTTCAGAGTAGTCTTGAAACTGAAAAGGGTCAAACTTCTGTACAAGATATAAGACCGTGATGAAGGAAAAGAGATGGCTAGAAAAGAGTAATCCTAGTCCTGCCATAAGGCAGTTGCAGAATGTTTGTCCTGTAATTCCTGTCAGAAGGCTGAGTTCCTCATACATGGAATATACAAAAAAAGCATTGGAATATCTTCCAGGCATTAAGTAAATAATACATTTGGTTTTCATTCATAGTTTTTTAACATTGGATAGTTAAGTCTCAAAGCTCGTTACCAGTTTTCCTAACTGAAAGAAAAAGTAATGAGTTTGTAGTGTACAATTCTTGGCATTTTATACAGTCGTCTTGAACCAAATCATAAATGGAAATCTTTCAATAATGTTGGCACTATTTTCAAGTCAACACAAGTAAAGTGCATTCATTCACAAGTGCAAAATCTAAACCAAAAAGTGTATTGCAACAGTGCAATATGAAGCATTGAATAGGTACTCAAACAGCATTACCTTGAAAGTAAAAAAAGATAATTCCTTGCTAGGCAAGGGCTGATTTTTCTGTCTCTTTGTAGCTCTAGAGCCTTTTTGTGATTCATCTTGTACCCGTTTCCCCCCGTTTCTTGATCCTCACTTCATTTGTTCTTCTAATACTCCATTTCTTATATCTCCCATCTCAAGAAACACATTTACTCTCTGGTTCTCCCTTGTGTTTATATGTTCTTAGTGTGAGATAATATTTGTCATGGATGAGGGTAATTTAAATGGCAAAATATGTTCTTTCTTCATATTAGATTTTTTTTTAAAAAGGAAGTGATTTCAACCCTGAAAGAAACTATGATATTTATATATTAGAATACATGTAGTATCTTTGGTCTACTTGGTGCAGAGAGGGAGGTAAGAAAGTAACATTTTTTTTATTTAAAATTAAAAAAAAAAGGTTGGTGTAAGGTTTGTTTTTCGTATTTTCAATGGAAATCTGCTAGCATATGCTATTCCTTACGCAACACTGATTTTAACAAAGTCTTTTTTTCTGGGTTTGGTTATGATTTTTCTGTCTCTCAATTTTATTTTTCTTCCCTCTTCCAGTTAGCCATAGGTCAGTGTGTTACGCTAATGTAATGCTTTTTTCTTAGACCATACATGCATCTTGTGAGCCTGTACTGCATGGTGTATTTCTATGTAGTTAAAGGTTTGGAAGAGCCTACAAAGTTAGTAGTCTTGTTACAAGTAGAACAATCATTGCTAAGTCTTGCAATATCTTTTTTTTTTTTTTTGCTAAGTATCAAGAGTTTTTTTTCTTGTTCTCTTGGCAGTATTAATGCAGCATGTATTTTATAGGCAACAAGTTGTTCTTAGTTTAGCTTTAATCACAGAGGATATTCACCAGGTCCTGTGAATAACTGACTACGTTTTCAGAAGGTATCTGCAGCTTGTCTCTCGGATTCTTTGCATTTTTCTATCATTCTTACATTTGTAAAGCACATACTGTAAGAGCATTTACAAGTAATACACCTGATGTCACACAGCTGAACCTCCCAATCCAAATAGTTTTCTCTTTTTTTTTTTTTTTTTTTCCTAGAATATTAGGATTGGTTTGTTTTGAGGGTAGCCTTGAGTTGAGTCTGAAAGCCTGTTTCTTTTACTAGCACTAATCCTTCTGTAAGATAAATGTGGATGGATACAATCATGTAATGTAATGATGATACCTTCTATTGCTTGCTTGCTTTCTTACCTTTTTCCTATTGCTAAGCAGCAGGAAGCAAGCTAGGCAGCTCTTGTGCTGACTTTCTTGTGTCCTGCCTACTCCAGTAGTTTTCTCTGCTGGCCCTCCGAATTTAGGGGAAAGCTCAATTGATGCCAGTCATGTTGCATCTGTTTTCTGTAGGAAACTGTTGTGAACTTTTTGCTGCTCTGCATTTAGTAGTGTAAAGTGCTGCTCTGTTCCTGTGATCAGAGCGAGCAGGCAATGTCCAGAAATGGCCTCCTAACACTACTTAGCTGTGAACAGAAAAGCTGAACAGTAACCAGGATTACTTATTTTGGTAGAAGTAATGTTATTTACTTTGGCTGAAGAAAGCTGAAGATTCTTGTCTTGAATATAAGAACACTTTTTTGACAATAAGTGAAAAGCTAAGCTTTGTCCTTGGGTCAGCGTTGGTCCTGACATGTAGTAATGCTGTCTCTTTAGGACAGCTTTTGAAATTGTGTAGGTTTGCATGTGCCTTATGCTGATAATAGCTATTCTTTCATTAGAGCCTTCTATTTCTGAAACATTTTTGGGTAACTAATGAATTGCAGTTTTCTGCAATTAGGTGTGTGAAAGATAGTCATTGCAGCTTTGAGGGTATGTTTAGAATAAGTTTAGACCCTGGTGTATTGCTGCTCTTGCTTTGGTGTCCATTTTTATCATTGCATATAATCTTCCTGGTTTGAACTAATTCTTAGTTCACTACTAAAGCACTTCCTGTCCCCCCAGATTGAGGGACTGTGTTATTTTCTGATACAGAAGAGTATGTGTGAGATACAGTCAGGTAAAAGTGCATAAAAAGATTTCTGTCCCTTTTCTTATGAAGTCAAAGTTAATCTTTGGGCGCCTCTCTGGCTGGACTGTAGAAAAAATATTTTTTTTTTGTCAGCAATTCATTGAGAATTTGCAGCTGTACTTCAGTTCTCACTGAAGTACATACCACTAGGATTGCTTAAACGAATTTACATACCCGCGGTATTTGCAACAGAGCCAGTACTCTGTTGTAAAGATTTGGGTACCTTGCGCCACAGCTAACAAAGTGCACAGCAACCATTTTTAAGCGGCTGTTACAGAATTACATGGCTGAGCCGAAATGCAAACTGTTCTTCTTCCAGAAGGTTATGCTCACTGCTGGACTCATGAATAACTAAAATTAACATGTTCTTACTTCTAATGTTAAAAATATTGCTTAATTCCTGCCTACCTTCTTGTCTCTCAGCTGGAGTATCTGGTTTCGTATTACACCAAATAAAAAGTGAATGCCACGTGTGTTTATTCCTCTTGGCTGGGCTTTCTTGCTGTCAAATGCTGCTTTTAGGTGTTGAAAATCTTTCTTGGAATAACCAGGCAAGTTTTGGTTATAGGCAAAACTTTTATTCGTTATTTTATTCCCTTTTCTTTTATTGTGCGCTGAAATTTATGACTTAATGTTCCTCTAAGTTAGTATCCAATGAATTCCACAAATAAACACTTACGATGCTCAAGTTATTTTTGTAGTTTCTGCCATGAACCATTAGGACAGAGAGAGGACATCCAGGACAAATATTTGGATTTAAGGCCATTGGCTGAACTGTAGTATCTCCCATGGGGTCCTCACTACTCCATTCAGCTAGCACATGTTGGGTTTTCTACTCTTCACCTATTGCAGGAGGGCAAGCACATCTTTAAAATCTTTTCTTGGTGAATTGGCAATTCCTCCTCTGTTCGTGATCCCACATTCATGTTTAGAGTCCAGTTTTCTGTCTCCAAGCTAGAAAAGTCCTTAGGGAAAGTTCAAGACAAACCTCTTTCCAAGTGTGATGCCTTTGGCTTCTCCCTCCAATCTCACAGCAGTTCTGGAGGGAGATTTTGTCAGAGGAAATCTGAAATAATTCTGAGCAGTTCCTCAGAGCTGCTTTT